TTATACAAAATTCATAATAAAAATGATATATTAGTGATATTTGTGAAAGTAAGCGTACAATGATAAATATTTTTATTGTAAATGAATGAATCATAATATGTCAACCATTCTGTATGAAAATTGAACCAACTGAACTAGCTCAGTTAACCACTCTTATCCACTCTTAACTAAGATATCATGAGTTAATTTTGTTATGGACAAAAATTGACTATTTGCTATGAGAAAGTTTTTATTTTATTTTTTAAAAATTTATTGGGTAAATTACAAACACGTCTGGAATTTACTTAAATTATAAATTACCTCTTGTAATTTTAAAAATTACATTATGCTCCTTAAAATTTCTAATTTCATAATAAATAGGTCATTTTATTAATAGAAAAATGCTCCCGACCTCACCACTAAATTAGCACTAATGACATGGCTGGCTTACGTGGAAAACGGATACAAACTCGCCAATTTCTCCCTCTTTCTTATTATTTCAAATTTCAAATTCATTTTGAACACACAATACATTTGAAGACTCTCTCTATTCTTCCTTCTCTTCTCTGTTGTGCCTCTCCTTGGCGACCTCCTCGACAAGCGTAGCTCTGCAACCCGATCGGACGAGTGCGGCTCTCCAACCCTGGCGACGACGCAGCTTCTACAACCCCGGCGACCCGACGAGCGCAGCTTCTGACGACCAACGACGACCGAGTCTCTCTCCGTCTTCGCACCGGACTCGCTTCTCTCGACTCTCCGTGTTTTCTCGACAGATCTGTGTGCACAAGTCAGTGAAATAATTTCTCTCTCTCTCTCTCTCTCTATATATATATATATATATGCCCTAATTTGTAAAACACAGCAAACCTTTACGAACCTCATATATTAAATTACTGAGTTGAATTCATAGTAATGAGATTTTCATTTGTCTTCTAAATTCAACCATCCAAATATATCAGAAGAGAAATTAATAGATAATGATTTAAAGATTGCTGATAGTGTGTAACTTGAAATAAATTTGAATGTGTATTTTTCTGACTCAATTTTTTTGGATGTATAACAGGAATTACGGACATTGAGATTCACTTTCTCCAAATTAAGTTCACAGCTATTGGAGTTTACTTGGACCTCTCTACTGCAACTTCGCCCCTTCTTGCAGACCACTGCTGCAGCCATTGCGCCACCGTAATCTTCTCCACCCGCAGCCTACCAGTCTCATCCACTTGCTCATGGTAGTCGGCACTGCTCTGCTAACCTATTTCAACTGCTGCTTCCAACCGTGACTGATCACTGTCAAGCCACCACCGCTGTAACTCCACGACCGAGCCACCATCATCTACAGCCTCACTCACCTCGGCTGCTTCATGTTCCCTCCACCATCTTCTCAGGCCGAATCTTAAACCAATCCAACACACCAAACCATGGTCTCTCTCTCTAGCTGGGTGACCAACTCAACCACTCCGATCACCGCCAATAACCACCACAAGAGCAGCCGCAGAAGCACCGCGCCGCTGCCACCAGTGTGCCACCCAACATGCAGTGACTGTTTCACTCATTCCCGTGCCGCTTATTATCCGAATTCTGATGAACAAGGAACAGAAACTGGGGCATGTGGATTTGGTACCTTTGGAGCAACACTTAATGGTGGGGATGTATCAGCTGCATCTGATCTCTATCGCGGCGGTCTAGGCTGTGGTGCTTGCTACCAGGTGATTACTCTGATTGTTGGAGGAAAACAAGGCTGAAAACATGTTTTGTTTTCTTCGCTTTTGTTTTTCCTGGAAGTATCTGATGAGAGTCTCTATCCAACACAAACACGACACCGACACACCACTTTTTAAAAAGTGTCTGTACTTCTTATCTTTTCTGATAGTTGCTTTTGAGTTAATGCTACCTTAAGGTCTCAGTTTTTACGAAATTGGTTCTTGGCCATGTGATTGAAGTTGAACTCTTTTTAATTCAAATTTGCAGCACCAGTTGAGAATTTCTTGAGAGTTGTGGTGATCAAGGAGATCAAAGGTTCTCAGTATGGAGTGCAGCTAGAGAGTGCAGTGAGGGACCGATCAAAGGTTCTCAATTTGGTTCACTAAATGTGAAATAATATATACAATCAAACCTTTACGAACCAACAAGGGAACACAACTAAAATTACCTCAAAAGGATGTTTCAGGTCTCCAAAACCATTCAGTTTGTCGTATACAAAGTAAAGTAGAGAAACAATTCTGGATAAAATGGAATAATATTCAGAAACTAGAAAGTGAAAATTAAAAATAAATAAATGAATAAGCTTTTCTGTAATATGTTCAATCTTCAATGTGTCTAATATGTGCCCTAAAATTCATTTGAGATGCAAAGAGCATATCTCCTTGAAAAAGTCAGTTGCCCCTCTCATCTTTCAAATGTTTCTATTACATGCTTCCATTTGTATTGATTTATTAGAATTTCCAGTCCAAACATTTGATAACTGTTCTAATAAAAAACAAAGCTTGTGGAATTATTACTTATTAAACAAAATAATAGGGATTTATGTATCTTTGATGACTGATTTTTTCATTATTTAACATAAATACTTTTGACATTTGTGATGAAATGACTTTTGATGGACAAAACAGTATTTTGTATGTTGAGAACAGTGTAACTTATAGACTGAGTAAGTTTTTTCATGCTGAAGTAGGTTTAACCTAACCATATCCAAGCTTGACTTGCTATATTTTTTTGCAAGTTCAAGCTTGGTGTTACATCAATGTAGGACTGCTTTAGGGAACTTGGGCTATGCTGTCTATATTAGGTATTACGGTGGGTTTTGGTTTGGAAATGTAGATTTATAGGTGATAATGTCAACTTCATATTTTGCTTCATATTTTTGTAGATGTCAACTTCAAGTGTTAATTCACAACGTAGGGAGGAAGGGCAAGTGCGAATGGACAATACACCAACTGTCACCGAACAACTTCAAAGTATAGGTGAACATCTTCGATTTCAAAGCGAACAACATCAATTTCAGAACGCGCAGATGCAAAAATTGCAAAGGGGCATAAATAGAAATTCGTGTTGTATTAATGGGATCTTCATCTTGCTTGTAATTGATGTTATATTAATAATGAAGATGTAATAATTTGTATTCAAGTTAGAACATGTAATTGGTGTCGTATTAATTATGAAGATGATATGTATGAAGGTTTATGATATATTACAATTATGGATTGAGAAGTATGAATATGTAATCATGTGGATTGTTTGTTATCTGCTTGGAACTTTGAAAGTTATTTGTTTGTCTGTTTGAACACATATTATGAACATATTTTGGACAGATTTTGGGCTGATTTCGGACAGATTTTGGTCTGATTTTCGACTGATTTTGGGCTGATTTTCAACTGATTTTGGACTGATTTTCGACTGATTTTGGACTGATTTTGGGCTGATTTTGGATTGATTTGTGGGATGATTTTGGACTGATTTTGGACAGATTTTAGGCTGATTTTGGACAGGTTTTGGGATGATTTTGAACTGATTGTAGGCTGATTTTGGGCTGATTTTGGACAGATTTTAGGCTGATTTTGGACTGATTGTAGGCTGATTTTGGATAGATTTTAGGCTGATTTTGGACTGAATTTGGACAGATTTTGGGATGATTTTGGACTGATTTTAGGCTGATTTTGGACACATTTTGGACTGATTTGGAACATAGATTCTGTTTGTCTAGTGCTTCACAGATTTTTGCATACATTGTTGTGTATTTGAACATACATTGTTGTGTATTTTAACACAGGTGCTTCACAGATTTTTCTTCATTGTTAACGCAGATAATTGACAGATTGTGAACACAATTGAATCACATTGTTGACAGAACAGATTGTGAACACAATTGAATCACATTGTTGACAGAATCGGACACATATGGACACAGGTTCAACACATATGGACACAGGTTTTTTAACACAGTTTTGAAGACAGATTGTTTGAACACTGGTTTTTCAAACACTGGTTTTTCAAACAGTTTTGAAGACATTTCTGCACACAGGTTTTGCAAGACAGATTCAAATACAGGTTTTGTTTCACATTGTTTCACACAGATTTTTTCAACACTGGTTTTTCAGTGTTGAAGACTTTTATTTTCACACAAGTTTTCCAAGACAGATTCGAAGATAGGTTTTTTTTCCATAGTTTTGAAGACAGATTTTTGTACATAGGTTTTTGAAGAAAGATTTTTTGAACACTGGTTTTTCACACAGTTTATATTTTTTCCACACTGGTTTTTCAAGATAGATTTGAAGACAGGTTTTTAACAAATTTGTAACAGCTTTTGTCACACAGATTTGGAACACATGTAGTAGATAGAGCACAAATATAACAACATCAATTGGGAACATTAACTATAACAACAAAGTAGGGAACAATATCAATTTGTTCTCAACCAAAAAATAAAGAAACTGAACAATCCAAAAATATATTAAATAAATTATCCAAAACAAAATAAAATCCAAGTTTAGTCACATAAAAGGCATTACAATTGCAAGTTTCCAACTAACGAAAACTACCGCCACGGTCATTGTGGTTCATTTGTACATTGAAGTCAACAAATGAAGATGGTACAGCTCCATAAATTTGATGCGTAGCAGTCATGGATTGTTGAGTTCTCGTAAATCCCGGTGTGCCTCCAATACAGTCCGACGGGGTAAGCGATGTGCCAACTCCATAAATCTGAGTTGGGGGATTTATGAAACTTTGTCTTCTCATAATGTCCACACTTGCCGGGGTGAGAGATGTGCCTCCAATAGCATTGGCCATGTGTTCCTATTCAATTAAAATGAAATGTTAAAATAAATTGGAAAATAACATAAATTGTTGAATGTAAATTTGTATGATGTACACGTACCGGCACACATAAACTATTTTCCATGCCAACCACACAAGGATAAAGCTCTCTACGTACACTATGTTCAGGTTGAGATTGACATTGACCTTCACCTTCACCTTCACCTTCACCTCCAAGCACCTTAGTACCCTATATTCATAAAAGTTCATGAATGCTTCAATTGTATGACATGATTACAATAAAATATGAGTTGAATAGAGAGTAATGAATACCAATTTACCTTTGATTTGCTATGTTTTCTTTTGCTTGCCTTCAACCGATTCACTATTTGATCTACTTTGGCAACCTTTCTTTTAGTAACTGGACGACCTTTTCGCCGAGCAACCAAAGGACTAAGCAACTTGGTATGACTGATTGTGTGTCTATTAATGCTGCCAATTGGGGAAGATGGTACATTACTAGTAATAGGTGGTACATTACTAGTCGAAGGTGCTACATTACTCCCACCACCTTCATCATCTTTCATCACTTTTGCCTTGATTTCATCCAACCCACGGTCAATAAGTTTTATTTTCCCTTCACAGTTCCCAGCAAATTGTACAATGCCAACCAATTTTCTGCTCATCTTCTCATACACCTTTGCATTGAAATCATCCCCAAAGCCACTGTATGTGGTTTTTATGCATGTGTACCCTCTATCCAAATCTTTTCGCCATTGTGGTAGAATGTATTTATTTGGAACCTTGTTTATGCATCTTGCAATGAGCACAACGAGTGAGTGAGCACACATGATGCCCCTAAATTCAAACAACTGGCACATACACTGCACATCAAATTCGGTGGAATTATAATAGACAACAAAGTCCACATGCTTCATCTTCCCAAAAACTACCACAACTTCCTTTACAAAATATGTACAAATTGAACCCTCTTCTTTGACAAGAAACGGCTGACAATAAACTAGTCGCTTCATCTCTACTTGAACTTCTTTGAATTTTGCATTGGTGTATGCATCCTGAAATTGCTTTTCAAAACCATACACAGTTAGGCAATCAAAGACTTTGTGTCGAGACTTGAAGTCAGCTTTCTTCTCTTTCTCTACCTTACTTCTCAAGGCATTGTCATATTGTTCAACAAATTGTTTTAATGTAGTCTTTGGGTTGACATATCCATCAAAAAATGCATTCATACTCTCACTTCGTTGTGTCGTTGACATGCCAGCCCAAAAAATATCTTTTACATAGACAGGAACCCATCGATGTCACTCATCATATAACACCCCCAACCATTGATTCTCATAAAGATTGAATTTTGCAATCATCTCTTTCCATTTCATCTCGAATTCATCTTTTGTGAATGTGTCATACACTGCATTTTGCAAATCCATCTTCATGGATTCATATTGGGAATACCCTTTCAATTTCTCCGGAATTTTCTTCATGATATGCCATAAACACCATCGATGTCGAGTATTGGGGAAGACAATTTCTATCGCATTTTGCATAGCTTTGCACTGATCAGTTATTATAGCTTTTAGGGGATGATCTGACATGCAATTTAACCATGATTTGAACAGCCAAACAAATGTATCAGTGTCTTCACTAGATAACAGCCCACAACCAAGCAAAATCGACTGTCCATGGTGGTTAACTCCTACAAACGGAGCAAATGGCATATCATATTTATTAGTGAGGTAAGTTGTGTCAAATGAAACAACATCTCCAAATTCTTCATAAGCCGCCCGACTCATTGCATCCGCCCAAAACAAGTTTCTTATGCGAAAGTCAGTATCAACATCAATCATATAATAGAAACTCGAATTTTGTGCGTGCATTCTCAAAAAATACTTTTGAAGTGCATCGGAATCTCCTTCTCCAAGCCTCAATTTTCTAGCTCTCTCAATGTAATTCCTTGCATCTCGCTCATCAAATGTTAAAGACTCATAACCCCCAGCTTCAACAACCATTGAGTGATAATTTCTAGACACCCCAATCCCTGCTTGATCATTAATTTCTAATCTTCTCTTCACAGGAGTAAAAATTTTCTTATTCATTGCAAAATGACGTGAAAGTTGGGTTGATCATCGAGGGCTTTACCTTGATCCGAAAATTTCGAGTTTTGGAGCACGTTGAGTTTTGTCATCTTCTTCCCTTGAGCTCCGAATTTGAGGTAGGGATTCCTACTCACTATTGTGGTCTTCGACATAGATTATTGGTAGTTTTGATAAAGTGTTGAAGTTGGTTGATTTTGGGACTTAGGGTTTCAAAAGGGTATAAACGAGAGTTGTTATTTTGATTCTTAAACATGTATTTTGGGTTTCAAAATAATGATTTTATTGTCGGTTGTTGCTATATAGGCCATTGGGTCAATATTGGGAAATGGGGTGGAAAGCCCTAATTCGTTGAATAAATTAATTGGTATAATTAATATTGGGAAAATTGTGGACTTATGGAATTGAGTTGGAAATAATGAAATTGGCTCATTATGTTGTGAAATGATGGAGTTGGGTTTATAAATCGCTCATTTTTGAAAACATTGATATTTTATCTGTTGGAGCTTTTATTATCTGTTTAGAAACAATTGCTTGGGCTACCGATGGAGGGTAGTTTTGATTGTTGTAGACAATGTATGATGATTAGGCAAACTAAAACTAATCAATTGGATATGTCATAGAGTATGACGGTTGATAGAATACATTAACGTTATGTATTGATTGATTGTGTATATGACCATTGTGTATATACGTTGTGTGTATGGGAGGAGATAGGGGATGTACTCCACGGTTTAGGGGAAGATAGGGGATGGACCTCTAAACCGGATGTTGTTTGGGAGAAGATAGGGGATGGACTCCACTGATACAGCTCATATGCTTGTCAGATAATGTGTTGATACAACTCGTATGCTTATCTCTGGAAGTGTTGATACAGCTCATATGCTTATCTTTGAAGTGTTGATATAGCTAATATGCATATCTGTTGAGATGTGGATACAGCTTGGATGCTTATCTGTTGAGGTGTTGATACAACTAGTATGTTTATCTATTGTAAAATGGGAAATGTTTAATATGAGTCATTGTCTCATATAAGTGGTTAGCCAGGTTCTGAGTCGTTGATGCAAATTGTGAAATTGATAAGAAATGGAAACTGAAATGAAACATGAACATAAT